AGCTAAGGTGCAGGAGGTGTTCAACTCTCTCAGGTGGCAGAGAGCAGAGAGACTCCCAGGTTAGCTGGAGGGGTGGGCTCTTTGGAAGGCTACACAGGCGAGCAGGGAAAATAGCAAATAATGTCCGCAGGCCTTGAGGAGGACCAGAGTGCCATTCAGGATAAACCGGCCATTGGACAGTGTGGCCTGGCCGAGGGGAAAGCTGCAGTCAACGAGGATACGGCAGGAGCTCTTTGAATTCCACAGCCCTTCCGGGGCCTGAACAGCAGCCCTGTCTCCACATCAGCTCCAAACCCTGCTCCGCCTTCTCGGCTCTGTCTCCTCTGTCTCTTCTTTCTGCTCCAGTACCTCAGCTTCTACAAGCTGCCTGTTTTGTTTTGTTTTCTTTTCTTTCTTTCTCTCTTTTTTCCTTTCTTTCTTTCTGCTTTAGGGTACAGTAAAATTATTATTTGGGGGAATATTTCTCTTTCCTGAGAGAAAACTTTAACAAATTTTTTTTCCATTTTTAAAAATTGGAGTATAGTGAGTTTACAATGTTTCATCAATTTCTGGTGTACAGCATAATGTTTCAGTCACTCGTGTACATATGTATATTCCTTTTCATCTTCTTTTTCATTATTGGTTACTACAAGATACTGAATATCGTTCCCTGTGTTATACAGTAGAAACTTGCTTATCTACAGAAAACTCTTTAATGTATCCTTTGCTTATATGAAATTAAGGCAGAGTCTGAGCTGAGAGGCTAGTCAAAGAGATGTTACATTGTTGAGCACAATGAAGAGAAAGGGTATCTTCCTTGAGCAGAGAGGTGAGAACTGTGTGGAGTGGGGCGCTCTGGGGCAGAGATCATTTTAGGAGCAGTCATCTGTGACACAGAATTCTACCTGTAACAGAGCAGGCCCCATGGGGCCTTCCCAGGGCAGACCCTTCCTCCATACCCTCTGCCTTAGCTCCTCTCTAAAGTACCTAGATAGCACCTGATGCACATTTTGTGAGTTGTTTTACAAAACTGAAAACCCCCCACCAAATGGAAGCTAACTACTTGAGGACCCTGGGCGCACAGCCCCCAGGCCTAAGGATTCATAATGTTAATCCTTGTGATACGTTACCTCACCATCAACCAGAGAGTTGTGCACGAGCTGATCACATACTCTATGACCCCCCTCCCTCACCTTGCCTTTAAAAATGCTTTGCTGAAACCCTTCAGGGAGTTTGAGGTTTTAGAGAACGAGCCACCTGTCCTCCTTGGACTGGCACTTTTACAATAAATGCTGCTCTTTCTTTCACCACAACCCGGTGTTAGTAGATTGACTTTACTGCTCTGGGCCACCAGACACAAGTTTGGTTCTGTAATATACCTTTTCCTGTGTTCTGGGCTATAATTCTGTTTCTTGACTGGCTTATCCATGGTTTAAGCCTCCACTGAGTTGATGCCTAGCCCATTGTCAGCTTGTAAAGAAAGGGAGGGGCTGAAGAAGCTAGACCCCCACAGGGAGACGGTGAGAGAAAGGAGAAGGTGATATTGACCAGGAAAATGGCGGCACTTCCTGGATTAGGGCTCTGGACTTCCTACAGTTGTAGAAAAGTGGGAGCCTGAGTTATCTGACTATCAAAAGAAAAAGCGATGGCCAAAGGCTGAGAAATTTGTGGTTTTCTCTTCCACCATGTAGAGCCACTGTTCGCCCCCAGTGCCTGCATATTCTTGTCTCTCTGTTGAATGACTCTAAATCCCCACCCTCTACCTATAGCAGCCCTACTAAATCCTATCTTTTCAAATATCCTCCCTTTCATATGTTCTTCTCCATCTTCTCTGCCTTCTTCCTCTTTTCTTCACTGCTTCCCAACCTCTTGCTCTCATTCTTCAACATTTTTCCTCTTTATTTTTTTTTCCCCTCTTTTTATCTCACCATCTTTGGTCTTTTCTTTTCCACCTCCCCCTCTTCCTTACCTACTTTCAGACAGCTCCTTGCTTTTCCTTACTTTTCTTTGCAATGGCAACTTATCCCAACCCCTCACTATACTAGAGGGTGCCAACCGATGGCCTGCTGCCTGAATATCTGCAGAAACATGTAATTTGCTAGCAGGATGTTTATTTAAAAATATTGAATGCATTCCCAACATTTAAAAATGGGAGATTGCACATAAAAATCCAGATTTCTAGATTTTAAGAATTCAGACTACCTGGCATGGTGGGGCCCACATTCATTCCTGGTGACAGTGGAGCTGGATGGCAGCTCTCCCTTTCATGTCACTAGAGTCCATTTGGTGTCCCCAGCCTCACTAACACTGAAGGAAATGTTAATTGGCATTTATCATTTAGCTTGAACAGCTGTTTTTCTTCTAGCAGAGAAAGCTTAGTCCCTACCCACATGTTTACTCCAAAGTGGGAAAACAAAGAGACAGAAAGAGCCTTGTTTTTCTCACCCCTAGCATGCTATGACGTCATTAGCATTTCCTGTTTTGCCCTGGCAGGCAGTTTGCAACCTTTGCTATAGACAAAGACTCAGGTCTCCCTCTCCGGCTTTTTCTCCCTCTCACCTCTTTCTCCATTGTACATCCTCCTCCCACCTTCTGTTCATATGAAGATTAGTATTTAATGCATTGCTGTAAGGTTAAATAACTTCAAGTCTACTACTGAAACTGTTTCAGCCTTCAGTCTTTCAGAAAAGGTCTGTGAAAAAACATTGTATTTTACAACAGTGTTTTGTGTGTGGACCTAGAAGAAGGTGAGCGCAGTTACTTGATCAAGAATCTATTACTCACAGGGAACTATATTCAGTTTCTTATAATAACATATAATGGAAAAGGATCTGAAAAGAAAAAATATATATGTATGTGTATGTATAACTGAATTACTTTGCTGTACACCTGAAACTAACATTGTAAGTCAACTACACTTCAATAAAAATTTTAAAAAAAAGAAGCTATTATTCATCTTGCTGTCTGTGTCAACCTATTCATGTGGATGAGATTTGAGAAACTCACTGAGCCAGACAAAAGACAGCCTTCTTTTAGGGTCATTATCAGCTGGGGGATGGCATTTCCTTAGTAGTAACAGAAACCTGAAAAACAGTGACATAAACAAATTAGGAGAATATTTTCCCACATTTAAAATGACTCTCAAGGACAGAAAGGGGCTCCTAATAGCTTAGCAGGAACCTGGCTCCCTCCAGCCGCCTGAACCATCATCTATAGGGCTGACTCTGTCCTGCATCAAGAACCTCATTGCCTAATTTATTTTCCTCCTTGACACTTAGACATTCTGACATACTACATACATGTGTCTACTTGTTTATGGTCTGTCTCCCCCAACCAGACTGTCAGCTCAGTGAGGGTAGGGATTGCTGTCTGTTTTTTTCATGCTGATTCCCCAGCATGGAGAACAGCATGTCTTTGTTGAGTCAATGAATAAATGCTCTTGGGGTGACTGCTGGAACTCAGACCAGCACGTTTGTGTTTCTGGCAGGGAGAAGTAGGAGAGGAAAGGGCTAAAGGGACCCAAGCCTGGAGGGTCGGCTCTAGAAGAGAACTCTTCTGCAGGTCCGTTCAGTCACTTAGGCTGACACTCCCTTGGCCAGAACTCTGTCACACAGCTACTCCTTCCTGGATGAGAGGTTGAGAATAAAAAAAATTTAAGGCAGAGGAGTATTGCTAATTGAAATAAAACGGGTTCTGTGAGAAGGAGGAATGGGAGAAGGGAATTTGGGGCACCGCAAGATGGCTGTCTGATGCCCTCTCTTTGAATGCTTGGAGCTTCAGAGATCATCCGTGAGACTCTTCACCAGGGCCCTCTGCACATAGGGAGGTCCCAGCTTTCTACTTTATTTACTCTGTGAGTAACATCAGCTTCCTTGAACTTCACCTCAATGTGAACTTCACCTCACTGTGATTCCTTAATTCTATACTTACTGTTTATTTGTTGGACTTCTAAGATATAATTGCAATATAATTCCAGGAATTGTGAGTAATAAGACCCACCTACCCCAAGTCTGCCAACTGTCCCATTTTTAGGCATTATTTTTCTTACTGAAATATTCAGTGGCTTAAACCTACCCTCCAGGCCCCCGTCTGTGTTTGTGCACACTGCGTGCATGTGTCGATCTGTGTGTGCATGTGTGCGTGTGAACCTGTGTCCACACACCAAAAAAAGAAGAGGGAGGAAGCCTCTCCATGCCCCTTCCTTCTCCCTTCCAGGGCTGACGTTGTCTGGAGCTGGAAATGCTTTGATGCATAGAATGCGGGCCCGTTCACCCCAACAGGTAACCAGAGGCGCAGGGAGAGCTGGCCCTGAAGGCCCTGCCTGTGAACTCATAAAGGTGATGTGTAGGGCTGAATTCCAGCCGGTGCTCATCTCCCTTGGCCTCCCCGGCATAGTGTGTGGGCTGTTTGCCTAGAGGAAGGGGCCCTTTGTTGCCAAGCTTGTATGCCTATGGGCTGCCTCTGCCCAGAGGAAGTGCCTTTTCCTATTTATTCACCCTGAGGAGTCCTTAAAATGCACACAGAGGGTGAGGGTATAGCTTAGTGGTAGAGAGCATGCTTAGCATGCACGTGGTCCTGGGTTCAATCCCCAGTACCTCCAATAAAAAAAAAAAAACCTGAAAAAAATAAAATAAAATGCACACAAAGGCTTCCTGTGGGCTGGCTGCCGCCTCCTCTCCTGTATGCGGGTCAGTAGATTTCACCCCTGCTTGTCTTGAAAGCCAGAGATCTGTGCATCGTCACTGAACCACCCCATACCCTTCTCTTCCTTCTTTCCTCCATCCAGTCAATGTTTGACTATGGAATGAAAGTAAGCTGAAGACAGACACCTTCTGTTCTTTTCTTCAGACTGACACCTTCTGTTAGGAAGCCATCTCCCTGCCTCCCCAGACTGCTGCCGTGAGTGAAATGCAGCCAGTGCCCACGGGGTACAGCCTACGCTGTGCTCCACTGAGGGACACTCAGGGAGGTCGCAGCCTAGCTCATGACGCATTTCCTAATTGCCTCTGCAGGTGACTGACCTCAGCCTTCCTCATTTTAATTCCATTTTAGAGAGTGACGTCTTCTGATACCAACATCAAACTGGGATGAGCTGTTTGTGGAGCCCCACGTGCACTGGCCGCTCCTTCCAACTTAAACCTGTGAAGGTATGAAATAATCCAATCTTAAAATGCACAACGAATAATGGAAGTACTGAATAGTTAAAGAGCAGACTCGTTTTTAAAAAATGACAGGTTAGCCCGTGTATCAAATTAAGTCTCATAGAGAAGCTCACTATATTAAAAACAACGAAGGAGGAGCTTCTGGGTGCAGAAGGCGGTGGGGTGGAGCCCTGCCCACTGTGTACCTGCCCAGATACTCATCAGAGCCCCTCAGGCATCTCGGTAGCTCTCTAAGTGTCAGTTGAACATAGTTTGCCAATACATAGGGTAGTGGAAAGAACCCAGGCTTGGAATTAGGAAATGGTGTGAGTTCTTGCTTTGCTACTAACTCTCTCAGTGGCCTGGGGCGAGTGAAACCACCTGATCTCTCCACGTCAGCCTCATGTCATCCACAGGAACAGGAGAACAAGTCATGTAGGTGCCTGCAGCTCAAATGGAGAATTATTCATATATCCCCTCCTCCTCATCTGCTCAGAATATCCTTTCTCAGCAGCCTCCTCCATCTCGTCACTGGGCTGTATACCTTGACATACTCTGGGAGGCAGAGCTGGTTGCCACGTCAAACTCCCTTATCCTCCTCTCCCTCAACAGTGGCGCCTCCTCAATCCTGTCTGGGTGTCCATGTGCTTGAAAACGCTTCCTTAGAACCCTTGTATCTAGAGGCGGCCACGTGACTATTTGGCTAATGAGTCATCAGCAGAAGTTGACTTGATGGGGCTTTCAGGAATACAATTGCTTTTCTGATTGATTTGGTGGGGGGGGGGAGATAAATTTGGTTGCAACATGCCTTTTGTTGTTCTTTTCTCTTCTCTTTTGCCTGAAATGTAGATGTGATGTCAGAGGCGGGAGCAGCCACTTTGCCCTCATGAGGTAGAAGGATAGACATAAGGACATAGCAGGAGGTTGGATTCTTGGTGACTTCTTTGAGCAGCTATGTCAGCCCTGGCTGTCTTCTCCAGTCTCCTTGAATATTTTATAAGAAAAATAAACTCCTAATTGATTAAGCCAAACACAACTTCAACCAGGACACCCTCTCTCTATGTTGTCTTGTTTGGAGCTTCAGTAAACAGTGTCTGATGTAGTCCTGCCTTAAAGTGCTGCTTCCCCAAATTACTTCCTAGATGCAAAATCCATAAATATATACAAGAGGTACCCATGTTACCCACTCCTTTAGGTGCTGCCAGGGCCTCTGGGAAACCAGACTCAGCCCCTGCTTCTCTGTGGGAGGACTGGACATAGCATCTTTGAGCTCCAGTCTCCTCCTCCATCATCTCAGGGAACTGGTAACTTCTTTGCAGGCATGTTGTGTTAAAAGCCCCAACCTCATCCCTGTGCTTTCCACCAGAAATTAACACATTATTGTAAACTGACTACACTTCAATTAAAAATAAAATGAAATAAAATAAAACAAAAATTTAAAAACCCCAACTTCATTAGCAATTATAAGTATTATCAGTATTCCTCATGACCTCAGGAACTTCAGGAATGCCTCAGGTTTTTCAAGGTCTTCCCAATGGGAGTTGGGAACATTTGCTGGTGAGCTCACCTTGGGAGGTCACCAGACCCTGAGCATTTTTATCCCCATGAAACCTCACTTCCTTCATTTAAGACAGAGAACTAGAAAGAGTGTTCTCACTTAGTTACACCTGGGATAGGTAGGTGGAAGGTACCCACTCAGGCAACACGAAGGACAATAGTCCACCAAACTGGGAGAGATGGGTTAACACAGCAGCAATCTCTTCCCTAGTGAGCACTGCCTTCCTTGGGGAACTGGCTGGACGTGGGGTCTCGGAGCCACTAAGACCCATCTTGCCCATAACAGCGAGAAAGGGAAGTTCCAAAAGAGGTGGAGTGTAAGTGGAGGTCTTTGAAGGGAAATGGGGCAATGATTTTGCCTCGACTACCCACCTCCTTATAATAATAATGATAATAATGGTGTTTTAATAACCTTTCTCCCATGACCTTGCTTCTCACTATCTCCCAAGGTATTTCTATAGTCTCAGTATTTGACCTTAGCTACAAGGATGTTTCCTATTAGTCTCTATTTTGCAATTCTCTTAAGATCTTCTAAGAGCCTTTTGCCATTGGTCACTCTTTTCTCTCTAGTCCTTATGTGTCATCACTTTTTCTTGCTTATTTCTGTCTTATACTCACTCTTGAAATCTGTCTCAGAAGCCTTTATGAAGCCACCTTGGATGGAGACGTTTCCCTTCTCCCCAACCCCGCAGCTCTTAGTTCCTACAGCTTCTGAGATCATCAGCAAACCGGCATGTGCTTGCATCAGACTTACTCCCTGCTCCACCCTTCAGATTCCTTAAGGCAGGAATTGTCTTGTACTCAGCCCTCCCTTGGCACATTGTACTTGCTTGATATGTATTCATTGAATTCAACCGGAAGTTCCAATTTCGGAAGAAAGGACAGACATACACCAAGCATGATACATTTAAAGAAAGTGGAGATCATTTTCCTTGGGAAAGACCTCTGCCCCCATGGGTACGGGACAGGAAATAAAAGTCATGGCTAAAAACCACCTGCTTGGAGAACACTTTTCTTTAGGAGAAACGCATGTTATAAAAGAAGTCACTACCACCTCTCATTCCCTTTAATAAGGAAGTTCTGAATAACTATTTCCTGGGGACCCACTGAGTCAGAGGTTCACACCTGGTTAGGTAAGAGGAGGGTGTGATCAGAGAAGAAGTGATGAATGTGGGTTTTTTTTTTTGCTTCAGCACCCAGCATCAGCTATTTATATATCAGAAATGCAAGTTTCCAATTGTAGAATCCTTGCTATTGTTCAAAGTGCTTTCATACACGTGCCCCAACAGGATTGTGCAAGTTTAGCTGTCTAGAAAAGAAATTTGATGGAACAGGTTCAAAAGATCCCTCAATTCCTGCACTGGAAAAAGACTCTTTTCCAGGATGGGAACATGGCAGGAAAGGAGAAGCAGGACCTCCCCGTTCTGATAGTGTTAGCATGGAGACATCTAGCAACCAACTGTATATGAACATCGGAAGCTTTGGAGGGAGAGAGTAGGCTGGAGAGTAGATTTCAGAGTCATTGCGTGCAAATGGATATTAAAGAGCTGACAGTGGGCAAGGTCACCCTGGGAGGGTGTGAGGAGGAGGATGGACTGAAGATGAAGTCCCGACACTTAGGTGGTGAGGGGAGGCCAAGACCCCTGATGGCCAGGGAGGGACAGCTGAGAGGTTAGGAAGAGGTCAGCGAGGAAGTCATTATGGAAATCAAGGGAGTCAAGGCCTCTGAAAGAGAGAGAGAGAATTAATCAACCCCAAATGGATGAAGTAGGGTTTCTGCTATAAGATAAGAACCAAAATGAGCCCTTTGGATCTGGAGCGGGGCAAAGGATGAGATGACTGGAATCAAAGTGGAGACAGGAGGTATATTTCCGTGGTGCCGAGAGGGATTAGAAGTAAGGAGAGTGTGGCAGACACGGAGGTGCACCGACGATCACCAGCTGTCAGCTCCTTCGTGGTCCTCCTTTCTCTGGGCAGTTCCATGTGGTGACTGAGCAGGGCCAGGGTATAAAGATCTGGCTGTTTTGGCCCGACCTGTCTTTGCTCTGATAGGTGATACCTGCTCCAAGCTCTCCACGGAGTTATCCGAGGCTTTGCCAGGCCTGAAGCCCAGTGTAACTCCTCCTTCTGCCCTGTCCTGCTTCCTGGTCCTTCGCTTCACAGGTGTTGATTCCTAACCAGCGTCTTGCACCCCAGACTCCTTCCTGGCTTCTGCTTCTAGAGAACCCAGCCTCCGACAGAAAGTGGTAGAAATGAGTCTTTTGAAGAGTTTACTGAGAAGGGAAAAAGAAGATAGCAAAAGCAAAAATGAAGGCTTCTTTTTTCCATTTTGTTTCTTTTAAGAGTAGGAAGAAGAGGAAGGAGGCAGTGGAGAGGGGGTGCGTGATGATACTGGCAAGAGAGAGGATGATTGACACCATGTGGTCTAGGGATGAAGAGGGAGGGTAGAGTTTAAGGCCAGGAAGAGCGATTGAGCTGGAATAAGATGTTACCTGGTTTCTGAGACTGAGGCTGAGGACATACTAATGGTGTGATCTTGAGTATTTAGGGGTTGGTCAAGGAAGCAAAGAACAATCTACCCAATGGCTTCAGTT